CCACTGTAAATGTGTTACGTTGTAACCCTGTAATGACGTCGCTTTTCTATAGTGTTTCAGTCTTCTTGCAAATCATCCGACTCTAAATCTCACGTTTAAATATCTGCATTGTTTTTAAATTTTATAATTTCAGAAGCTTAATATAACGTTACAAAAAATATAGGAAAAGCAGTACATCAAAATATATAGTATACGACATCTTTGGATCTCGTTATGTTTTTGGCTTTGTTTGTTTTATCGTCGTCGTTGTTGTTGTTGTTGTTGTTTTCTCGTCAAATAAAGCTAAGAAAATTGTATATTTGATGAGTGAAAAGTGAGTTTCGAAGCGTTTCTAAAAAAAATAAATGAAAAATTAATGTTGCTTTGACAAAAATTGCCATGGAAACATGGATGACAACACCAGCATGACGTCGAAGCCAAAACAAATCCGGTTAAATAAAGGAAAAGTCCAAACATTTTAACGGAGGCATAGCTGTCTTGGTTCCAACGCAATCGGCATGTTACTAGTGGTCTAGTGGGGAGGTGTGAAAAMGATTTAGCTCAAAATTAAGGTATCCATACAGTCTATAAAGTGTTGGTTTGAATGTTTAATATTTTGTCATTGAAATAGAAATGTTGGTATGGGGACGTCATCTGCAGCCGGCAGAATTGGTTCAATTTCATCTCCATTTATAGTTTCACTCGTAAGTATTACCATATCGACTATTGCAGTCCTCATTTTCTCTATCATACTTTGCGATGTGATCATTATGACCACATATCAGGTCAATTCACAAAATGTCTATTTTTATCCTAGGTTCGAATCCATGTTCTGATCCCGTATTCTATCTTTGCTATCGCTACGTTCATCGTCTGTGTACTGTGTCTTACCTTAGCAGAGACAAACAACGAACCAACTAAAGAAACGCTTGAGCMACAGAAGACACTCAAGAACAATATTAATGGATTTGTAACCGATGGTACAAGCGATACGTTACTTTGAAGATACATGTATAAASTTGTTTCCCKAAACGGTAATAAGTTTCGTTAGCAGATCTATAATTTTTGWCGCCCCTTGTGGTCTTCTATCTATCACATTTATGYTTACCATTGGGCTCATAGTTGTGTTTTACGGATTGCTTATTCATCATAAATTGAATGACAYCGAAGACAGCCAAAGTAATTGAAGCACGCGGGCCAAATGAAATGTAATCTTGTAGTCTTCTAACCCTCATAGTCTAATTGTTAACTTAACAGACAATAAAAAAATAGGGCAGGCATTAATTAATTACTCAATTGTATCTCAGTAAAGATAGCTAATGCCAGCGATAGTTTTTACTTACAGTAAAACGTCCATAATSTTTTATCGTCCAGTAAGGCGGATRACTTTTTTCTCAATTTTCAAATCCTATACGTCTTATGATAAAAYATGACACGTAATGTCACGTGATTTCCGTTTGCTTGACCATGATAGGCACTCCGATATCTATGAAAATAACTTAATCTATTCAAAATATAGTCAACTGGCGTTCTTTTCGCCCAGTTGATGACATCACARCTTCACATACGCTRTCGAACTTTGAGTCAAGGGTYTCTTGTCAGTGCCGCATCTTTAAACTTAATATGTATTATAATCTGGACAATCTCCCCATTCATTAAAGACTGGTCGCTTTAAAAAATCAGTGTACAAGACTAGTCCATGTTTAAAAGAATCTGAAACTGAAACTGTTTTATTGCTCTTTTTTTGCTTTTAACTTGACAGAAAAAAAGGTGCTTGTAATAAAAAGATAAATAGGTATAGAGAATCCTCCTTACGTAAGCACATATTAAATACACTTCATTTTTTATTATATTTTCATTATTTGTTTTATTTTGCTATGCACAAATGAATTGACCAACAATACCACGTCTTGAATTGGTCGAAGATTCATGTTATCTTAGTAATCACCTATACAACTATTCTAACCCACGATTAAAATGCTACAGTAACCCATAATACTTTTGGTCTGATTTGGTTCTTCATGGTACATGCTATGCATTGTCTTCGGTTGCTGTAAAAATATACAGAATACGTCAGCTCTAAAATTCAATGCACTATAACGAAAGAAATTGATAGCTACTAACATCGGTTGMAAATAAAAAAAATCAATTTATAACACGAATAAACGCCACTTGCAAAAATTTGATATTCACCTCTATGTGTGCCTAGATGCTTTTAAGGAAAGGTCAGAAAGTGTATGATCCGATCAGTAGCTAGCTTTGTTTTTTGACAAGTTATTGACAATTCCCTAGAATATGGGTTGGAAATGCCCTTTGACGAGCGTTTAATATGTGTTATCAATTAATGTAAAATATACGACAAATAATACACCTGTTTCTGATGTACATGATGAAAAAATCTCTACTTGACCATGTGTGGTGCCATCAATTTTGACATCATTCCACGYCAAGATATTCCCAGATGTACTGTGCTCATGCTTTGACATTGCAGAAATCTCACTCGGGCTCAGTACATTGCTCCAGATGTTAATACCAGTCATCTCACCAATATAAGACTCRGCCTCAGCGAATTTTCCTCCTACTGCGTCTTGTTCTTGTCCGATGATCAAAGAGCCCCCGCCTCCAATCACATGACCTTCWTTCAGGTTTCCTTGTGCGAGTCGTACACCGTCTTTGTAAAGTGCACATTGGCCTTCGTGATTTTCCCATGTTACGCAGATGTGATGCCAATCGCCATCATTGGTGGAAATTCCTGTTATCCTAATTCATACAAAAATATAGATAGAGGTCTATAACKTTTGGCAGTTCGATTAATATTAGGTGGACCAGCATCTGCAAAATGCCAAATCGGTTACGTACTAATGGTCAAATCATAACGTTTAATAATAATAATTTTTAAGTTATTAAATAAAATAATTATTCTTTATGTACTTATTAAATGAACAAACTGACTATTCACTATTTATTTTCATAGTCTAGGGTTTAGGTATTTGTCAGCCTTCGTGTATTCAATTATCGTATGTATGATAACGTATATTGATACTGGTGCTATTTACCACTTTTCGCCTCCAATAAAAAAGCTTAAAGAGTGAGGATTTATCAAAATTATCTCATTATCTGATCCTGGTACAGCGTAGCTTATCATGGTTCTTTTATTATCCTCTTGATYTCCAACTAATGCATTCATCCAAAGGCACAAAGTGAGACTCGTCAATTGAGGTAACCTTCTTTTAACCGCGATATAGTCTGTTACTGACGCACGAGAAAATTTGATTTTGTCGATTCCTAGTAAAAAAAAAAAAAAAAAAATACAAAAATAATAATATCGTTAAACATACTTTAAAACCTACTCTAACTATTCTACATAACAATATGTGACCAGAGCATTTTTGAACACCCCATCTATATTACTATATGTTTCTTTGACCATTAAGCTTTTACACTTGATAGCCTACATAAGACATACGGTAAACCTAAGTTAATATGATGGCGTCAAATATGTGGTAATCTATTATCAATTATTGGTATACTAATTGTTATGAACTGTCGTTTTAGCCGGCTCACTAGAGTGAAATGCGCTGAATGCATTTTTTGTGATAATAAATTTTACTAAAAGGCCAGCTAGCTAAGTGTTACAACAGAGATAATTATATGCCAAATCAAGAAAAAMGTTATTTTAGGCATTATAAAACTTCTCTTTTTCAGAATAGCTGCATAACTACATAAAACATGCAGTTAAAAAAAGATGACATCTTTTTCTTCTSTTAATGCGAAATAGTACGTTCTTGTTGTGTCCCTTGAGAGTTGTAAAGTCTTTCGTAAATAAATAAATAAAGTCTTTTATTTTGAGAGGGTAGCACGTATTAGTCTCTAGACTAATAAACTTGTGGCCCTCACTCACACTCACTGCCTCAACATTCATTATTTTACTACACGACACTCCTCACAGCTAGTTTTTTGACTGAGGGAGGAAAACCAGCGGACCTGGAGAAAAACCCTCGGAGCAAGGAAGAGAACCAGCCTACAAACTCAAGTCACATATAGTCCCCCGAACCAGGAATCGATCCAGGACCACAGCGGTGATAGACCGGCGTTTTAACCGCTCGGCCATCCTTGCTCTCCATTTGCATAATATTTGCGTATTTGCATATYCGTTCTCTTTATTCGTCTACCGCAATAGAGCACAAGCATATTGYTTTGTAAGTATTCTTTCGTTTCTCTTCCTTCGTTTATAGATTTCTAGACTGTTCATCGTTGTAATTTTTGTCTTTGTATATCTAGGAACATCTTCCAAAACATATTGTATACTATTCTTCATTATAGTGACTGTACCCCTTATCCTTATTATAAGATACACTCAWGTRAGTTAGGGCCTGGGTCAKCATATGCAAATTAGAAAAATTGATTAGTTTTATTTTATATTTCAGTCAAATTTCAAGCTTTTTTGATAAAACTTTGCATGTTTGTAGTTTTGAGGAACCTTAACATTTCAGGAGCCAGAACTTTTATCAAATAGTCACATTACATGTCACGTTGAATTTCAAAGGGAAGAAATTAAATTGAAATGGAGTAGCTAGAACATATGTTTCAAAAGTCGGTTGTAGCATCAAATCCTTTCTAAGTTAATTATCTAGAACTTTTGACTTAAAATGGTTGCTAATCACGTGCTCATTACTTGGTGATAAAGGTCACGTGACCTAACTTTATTTCTGAAAATCTGCCATTATCTCATCAGTAAATATAGAAAGTCATTCATTCTRAGACACGTAATGTTTATTTAGTTAAACTTAATAGTTTCAATAAAGTATGTTTTCATTACCCAATTTTYGATTTTCCTATCCGTTTTCCTATCCGCTGGGTCTAGTKACCTCCAAAATTTGACAACATATATTCAAAAATATTAAGGAACTTGATTCTAATTATGATTCCAGGTCTTATTGCTGTACGACAAAYGGTGGTGAAAATATCGCGTCTTTAATATTTTTTRTTTTATTTCATTTTTTTAATATTTATCATTATTATTATTGTKTTAAATGGGCTAAAATCCCAGGYCTTAATGCACTTGAGCAGTGTAAGCATAGGAAAATAGCGTTATGGGCATAGAGATAAAGCTTTCCTAGTACTCTGCAGCGATACAATCATACTGAGACATATTTACCTTCCTCGCAATTTTTCCCTTCAAACCCGGCTACACATGTACAACTGTATCCACCATTATTGTGTGTGCACTTGCCTCCAGTCTTACAAGGATTTTCCAGACATGCATCATCCTCTGTAGGTTTAAAATAACGTGACCGTCATAAATTTAACGTTCARGAACATATAAAAAAGTAAAAAGAACTCGATCAGATGCCAGCATTCAACAGAAAAGGCAGAGAAGTAGCAACTGAACGGCAGGAATAATATATGGATATCGATTCGAATGTTTACCTTTCAAAGAGTATTGATTGTACGAAATCCATACCCTGCCTGTTTTCGRTTCGTGACATAGAAGGTCACCTTTGCCGTCATTGTTAAAGTCTGCAACAAAAAGTGTTGATCCTGACACACACCAGTGCATTGCCATTTCCCACTTAGTACCAGAGAATAGACTTTYAACTATAACGAAAAATAAAACAAGATAGCAACAAACATCACATTGCATGCCAAGTCAATGGGTGAAAAGAATATCAGAGTTGTACGTAATATTGATTTCTTATAATAATACTTACTATTGTCACTGGCGGTTGCCACAAATTTGTAGCCATCCGATGGACGATGGCATAGCATGTCAGCAAGCTTGTCACCATTCAAATATCCCAAATGAAGTTCTGCGGTGCACCATTTTTGGGATCCACGCCAACTGCTGCGACCTGAGAATGTTCCATCCGGTCGAGCAAGCATAACCCAGTTTGTCCCGACGTAGTCGTGACAAAGAAGGTCGTCTCGTCGGTCGCCATTGAAATCAGCGATGTAGATGGACGATCCTTCATGAACACACCATCCGCTAGCTATGTGCCAAGAGGTGCCTGAAAAGCAGCCTCCAGGTTGGGCAAGAGATATCCACATGTTCTCATTGTCATAACAAAACATGTCATCCCGGCCATCGCCATTAAAGTCTCCTATCCCCAAATGGGCCTTCTTGTGAATGCACCACTTCATTTCATCGTACCATGAGTTGTCTGTAAAAGTTCCATCATCATTTGCTAAGGCAACCCACTTATTCCCATCCAGATCGTGGCATAACATGTCCGTTCGTCCATCACCATTGAAGTCACCAAGATGCACCGAGGCGTTTTGATGACCACACCATCCCATGGCATTGTACCAGATARACTCGAATTGACCATCTGAGTTGGCTAGGGCAACCCATTTGTCTCCTTTGCTGTCGTGGCACAATAAGTCAGCTCTTCCGTCGCCATTAAAATCACCGGTCAGTGAGATACTGCTTGAATGGGAGCACCACCCCATATCTTTAAACCAGTCTGTGCCTCTGTAGAAGTCGTCTCCTTTAAGATTCAAGTCATAAATTGCATTTACTTGTTTCTTTTTAAATGAAGCACAGAAAGATCGAAATTTATTATATTTTGTGAAGGACAGCGCAATGAGTTGTCAGGGAAGTAAWGGTGTGTTTGGGATCCAGAGTGGAGTGAAGGCATTGTCTAAACTTGACAGATCAAAACATCAACTTCTAGTATATCTAACATAACATTAAGATTACATTCAGAGAGGATCTTTTTTCCCCCTCTTATTGTTTACATGTCGTACAAAGTATGCATAAAATTGCGATTTGCATTTCTTAGTATCTCTGCAAACGGTCAGTGGAATACTTACCTATACCTAGTACCTGTTAAATTCCACAAGGGAAAGGAGGGATGGAAATAAGAAAAGGCATTTTCAGATATAACGAGCATAAAAAAACCTGCTTAATATTGTTAATTTTTTTATTTATTTTTGTTATCGTTGCGGTCTGCAATACCTACCATTTCCTGTAACGTATATGAGCCTGTAGTGAACATATTAAAAAAAACAATGATTACAATAAGGATAGTCAAGATAACAAAAATATCATTTTGCCTATTAAAAAAAACAGACAAACAAACAAAACCCTCCTGSCCAGTTAACATAAACAACAAAGCCCTCCCCATGTTCTGATCATTGACCATTTTTCTTTTACATATTTATGGAAGTCCGATTAATTATTCGCCCCAATTTATGCAGTTATGCAGCTTCGTAACTCAGTACAAGACTCACTTATACGCCATGCTGTTCTTTCACTGTCTAACTTGTTTCCTTGTAAAGACTTATGGGTTATAAACAGGAATCCCAAYACTACAAATTTGTGTAGTATTGTCAAAGCCCAAAAAGAGTTTATGGCTAACAGGTTTAGATGTACAAAATCAACTTTTGGTATATCGTGTTTTTTTTTTTACTTTATGTTTTTATTTATTGATCGATCGATTGATTCGTTGATTAATTGATTGATTTTTGAATATAGCAACTGTGCTTTCTCAAAATCAATATTCAAAACAATTAAAACATGATAATGTTGGCATTTCTACACATGGAATTTCTTTGTTATGAATCTTTTAAATAAACTTCTGCATGTCATTAGGTATTTTACGAATTCATATTATATATGTGTATAAGTATATCTCAATCCACAACCTTTTTGCAATTGACTGAAGTWTRTATTATAAACCTGAAAACATTAGACTTTGAATAAAATCGTTTGGGTTCACTCTGAAGTGATCAATTTCAAAGATTTGAGAATATGATCCTGATCACAAGATACATGTGGTTTCAGTCAAATGGGAGCCTTTTACTTCAATATGAATTCTGTTGTTTTATTAACCTTGTTGCAGCCAAGATGAAAACTATACACCACTCCATCCTTTTTGCGTTATGTTACAGTGAAAGATCTAAAAATAACAAATATTGTGTTAATCACGTCTTTTGGTATGGACAGAGCAGGCAAATGTATAAGGCGCCGGTTAATGACCATACAATAATTACTCACTTAAATTTATTTTGACCCTTGGAAGGTTAAAGTGACGTCACTATGACGTATTTTATACAATTTATTTGTTTCATTTAAATAATTCAATAAGTTTTCTACAACATCATAGACACCGCTGCAGTATCTTCTGATCAACATGAAAATAACTTCGACTATGGCATGCAGTCGATTTCGTATGATTGGGACAAGGTAATATCGATTTGCGTCCGTGTCATGACTGCATCGTAGCTTTACTGTTCTCGCCAATTTGTCCAATTTCGATGTTAATTTTTGATTAAAAAATGCTATTTAAGAAAACCTCTCGATTTAATAATGTGAAGTTTTATTATGAAACAAATTACTGTATGGTTAGTCTCATCACTGATTGGAGAAACGTGGCATTCGTTTTATAAAGTAATATGAGTCGTATCGTAAGCTTGCTTCCTGATTAAATGCGAGTACCTTTCTACTGGTTACTTGTAAAGGAATCCCAAAATAAGGAGTAAAATTGTGTGCACTTTTTCTTCCGGTGAGATCACGTTTGTGTGAATTTGTAAAAAAAAAATGTCTCATTTTTCTTCTTACGATTTACAGAAGCTGCAAAGTAGTTTCAGGGTTGTTTTAACTCTCAGTTTTATTATAAGTAATAGCATGGCTCTGAGGGAAATTATAGGGATTAAATGTCCCCGAAGCCGAGGGGAGATAAGTTGAAGTCCCGACGGCCGCTCCCTAATCTCCAGAGGAATCCATGCTATTACTTTGTAATACCATAATTTCCGAGGAAAAACGTGAAGTTAAACTTGAGCGAATTTGAATTCTTGTTTTTTTGCATGCTCCAATGTTTTCAATCAGAAGTAATATAAAAATTGAAACAAACAATTCATGCACTGATGAATTGGAATGTGACACGAAAAGAATGGATACGCACTGTTCTAAGAGTATCAAATACTTTATTGTGTCATTGAAAATGTTTTCGCAGAACAACAGTACAAAATGATATTGGTAATCCGATTATTGTTACTGATTTCTAACAACGAACTTTTAAACAATTGCTTTTCAGTTCTATTCAATGCTGAAGCTAACGAGCCTCAACTAGATTCAACCCCGAAAAGTAGTTTTTATATTCGTAAGTATAATGCCAAGAAGCTCATCAACATAATCAAACGTTGAAATTCGTCAAGTGCACATGCTCAGCGGTTCGAAGTACCGATCAATTTGGCCCAAAAACCATCCCACATTTCAGTGTGACTGATACGATAACCAGACCGTTCATTGCAGAGGTGAAAAGAAGACAGCTGTAGGGACATTCAGTTGGGGGTTGGGGTGGGGGGGGGGGGGGGGGGTTAACGACTGTCAAGAGGGATAGATGATATCGAAGATTGTCAGAAAATAAATCTGGACATAAGTCTGTATAAAGCCTCTTACGAAGGATAAAGTTCATATAAATCGATAAGCATTAAATCACTAATCGACGTGGAACAGAATAATCCTTGAAATCATCGTAATAGCAATGCTGTATTTATGAGCCATATTCACACGATATCTCTTAAAACGACTTCTGAAATCAACAGATTCTTATACAAGAACTTCCAGACCTCAAAAATCACATTTTGTCTGTTTAAAAAGCCATTTCTGTATCAAAACACCTGGCCATCTTGGTTACGGATTTCTAAATGACCGTATGTTTACAGAAAAAAAATTAGTGACTAATTAACTACTCCCCCTCACACATCATCTCCCTCATCTCCCTCCTATAATTCTTCGATTGCTTCGCAATCTTCGAGGCTGAAAAAGGTAATTAAATGAAAACACTATATGTACAGACAAAAGGGATCTGTGTTGAAAGAGAAAGACAGAGCACTTCAGTATTAGATAATATAAAAAAACGTAGATAGTAAAGGCAAGCTGCATGCTCACTCGTGAGAGATCTTTTCAACACTCGAAGATAAAATCCGTATCTCCGCGCGCCCATGTAATATCCTCTATATAACCAAAGAAATAAGAATGAAAGAATGTAAGAATTGGAGAGGAATAAAGGAAATAAGAAAAAGAAAGCAAGACTTAAGATTGGTGTGTTTTTCTTGTTGTAGATTCTTCCACACAAGAAAGAAAATAGAAATCGTACGCAATATATACCACAGTAACATCAAATCTGAACAAGCTTACATTAAAAAAAAGAATTAGGCACTGCAAAGTTAGGGATCCCTGTATCAAGAGAACGAAATTTTCTGTTTAAACTCACGAAGAATGGCAATTCACACATACCTCAGAAGTTTGTCTGTAAGAGTGTGAGTTTACTTAGAAGGAGCGTCTACTTATATAGTCATTATTATAATATTTTTAATGTTTGCCATTAAAATGACATAATTACTTAGAAAATGTTCAACACGTGGTTTCATTCATTTGAAATGGCTGGGTAGTCATAGGGTAACAATATTTACGACGAGAAGCTGGGTGTGGAAATGATTATTACCAACTTTGTTATTGTAATTGTACTAAAAACTTTAGAAGGAAAAGGGATTTTTCCCGCATTTGTTATTTGCATTACTCGATTCTCTGAAAGTAAAGTATATTACTTTGTTATTACGCACGATTTTTTGTTATACACGATATACGATATTCAGGTTTTCAAGTAATGAAAAAGGTATGAACATATGCAAGTAACAATTTGATTTTATTTCACTGCGCTTAAAATTTATTACTGGAATAAGTTAGGGAAACCAAATAAACTTTGTACAATAGTCATATAGCTGCTGTAAAAGAATCAAGTTTATTTTTTCCACTGTTTTTTATCTTCTTTTTTTCAACCTCTTTATGAGTAACAGCATGTTACACCATGTGCTGATATGCTCTGAAATATCTTTCCACATTAGTCCTTAATTTTTTTCCTTGGGAGACGTGGCAAATGTAAAAAGAATGAAGGAAAATATTATGCATTTAGCCACTTTACCTTTTTAGCGTAGTTACCCACAGGGCATTCGGCGAATTAACACCAGCATGTCATTTTTCAATAATATCATTTCATATCTCTCAAACTATCAAAATTCGTCTCAAGATTGGTCTAACACTTTTTCTTTATAAAGTAACTGTTCCATGATACCTCAATAGCCAGGTGATTGCAAGCCAATCGTTTTAATGTAATGCCTTATCGAAAATATATGAGAAAATCTTTCGAATGCAATCTTTATATTTATAATAAATAAAAAATATTAACAATTAAAGTCCTTATATTTCTTTTATTGGAAAACGTGTTTTTTAACATTCGGGAAAATGAAAATTGTATTCTTATTTTTGTGTGTGTTTGTGTGAATTTAAACTTTTTTTTTTTTTGCTATGTTTAATTAACATGTATAATAATTCTCTTTGTTGCACAGTCAACGTGGACACTAAGAGATATGAATTCCATCTTTCAATTCAATCTGATGAAGATAAAACCTATTTATATGCCCTTCCAATTCATTTTTACAAATTGCGTTTTTGATATAGACGAGCTGAATTGATTTCTAGCCATAGTTACCACGAAGTTCAGCATCATCACCATTAAAGCATCATTCTAACATTTATTTTTTGAGCCATCTGCACAACTGACCAATGCAAGAACTGTTTTAAACGCAGTCATGTATAGCATTCTAAACAAATATACAGGAATTGTGCGGCTGAAAGAAGGGCTCTCTTCCTCTATGTGCTTGGACTTCATATATTTGTCACATCAAAGTAGGCTTTGCTTATGGGGATCTCCTTTGTTTTCGCAAATTCTTATATCAGGCGCAACTAGTCAATTTAATTCGGTAATGTTCCAGTCCTATCCTCTCCATGTTACTAATTTACATTACCAATGATAAACTTGTCATATTACATGAAATTATATATTTTAGTTGTTCATTTGGATAGTGAGTAAAACTTAGAGAATTTTACAAGAGCGCGTTGAGACAATGCATTCGAGTTTTGAAAAGATATCTCATTGGTGAGCTTAGAAAACAGGACTGACCTTTCAAAATCTGTATCTCCAAGCAGCCTTGCACTCATGCAGCCATTTATAATCCTGTTTATCATGTAATCTATCACGACATCTATCTATCACGAATGAGTTACTTTTTTTTTAAATGGCAGCTTTCCATAAGTCAGAAAAATAGGCATTTCTATCAGTGGAGATTATGACACGTAGTCGCTGTCTGTAAGTAAATAATTCCATGACGAAGAATGTAATGTTTCCATTTAAAAATCGTACTCGAGTATTCAATGAGATTTCAAACCAAGAAAAACATTTCAAACAAACTACACAATGGCTGCAGTAATCCCACATTTTGTACAAAACATATGATAGAAAAAAACAATGCAAGATTATGGCTTGATAGGTCAAGGGATAAAAGCTTGATGTTATAATCCTATGGAACTCTGGTTGTAAGAACTGCAAGACTGTACGTCGACACGCCTACGATAGCTGGTATGGGTAGAGAGAACATCGTACGTTTTTCTACGTGTTTGTCATCTTTTTCAGACACGCTCACTTAGTAATTCAAAGCGTGGCTGCATTCTTGCGTACTTTCTGACATGTCATAGTGAATGGATATTTACGACAAGAAGCCCTATAGTATTTTTGAAAAAAAGACTTTGGTAATAACAATCATGCATCTGACATTATTCAAAGTTTCGGTTAAACTATATAAAAACTGCATTATTTTCATCTTTACCTGAGAAATGAATATGGGACTGCATTGCACTATAATGTACATGGTATAGAAATAAAGGAAAATATACAGTTATTAGAAGGAGGTTATTTCGGGAGTAAGATCCTTGGAAAGAAATTTAGAAAAAATAATTTCCGACACCTCACTGTGAATACTATAATTCCTTAATTTTTCCAGTCTATCTTTTAACCAATGAAATAACAGAGAATGACGTATGCTAAATTGCCTTGGAAATGTTATGCCTAGAGAGGACAATCCTCGAACTAAGTCTTTAGAAAACCTAACCACATGTTACTGACCAGTCACATGTTTCTATAAAGGAGGAG